GAATGATTTCTATATACTTTTGAGTGAAATAAGGGTGATATTGTGCTACTTCCGTTGAAATAAACGTCACTTCCGGTCTCATTTGATAGCTTCTTTTACACTGATTCCAAAAATATATAGTTTCTATTTACTTTTGCATGTAAAACAGGAGATAATTGGCCACTTCCGGTTATCGAAAGTCATGTCTGGTCTTTAGTGATAAGTTTATGTATTTATATTACAAAATATATGGATTCTGAGTACTTTTCCATGAAAAAAGTGCAAAAAAGGCTACTTCCGGTTTTCTCATGGTCACTTCCGGTTGACATTTTTCAAGATCATATGTCACCAAACCTTTTGTAAAAGGTCATATGGCTTTATAATGAACCAAGTTGAAGTGATAATCAATTAACCTTATAATTAGACATTTCAGGGGCACTAACTCCTATTAGATGCCATTAGATTGTTTCAAACCAAATGTAACATATCTTCATTACAATAAAGCAAACATTTTGCACTTGTTGTTTCATATATATCTTTAAAAGTGTTGGAGAAAATGCAAAAACAAGGAAAAGTCAAAATTGAGAACTTGACCTTGACTTCATTTTCTAAGTTAGGACCTACAGGCCTCAAATAAAAACATTCCAGGGTTATACAGTTAAAGGTTTATGAGTTAAAAAAACATACCGACAAATTTATTTGGTAAAGGTAGATAACTCCTATAAAATTTCATCGAATCGCTTCGATCTAAATTAGCCAACAATTTCTGAGGATGTAACGAACAATTTAGAAAAAGAATTTTGTTGATACCTTTTTTTGTTACGAAGGAGATGCACACACTTGATAAACAGTGAATAGGGTGATAACTCTTACAAAGAAAATGATTCGACTGAGCAGGGTGAAATTTAAAAGCGCATAAACTATACGATACAATATGAGAAATATGTAAGCGACATATTGCAAAACAAACATTTATCGAAAGAACAAAATTTGGCGGAAGAAAAAAAAAATAATAATAATTAAAAACCAATTGTTCAAAGAACAATTGAAGGTCTTTCCACATCAATTTTCTAAAAAATTGATAGAAAGCTACTTCTGGTTTACTCAAAGTTATAAATAGCGTCAAAGTATAGATTTATTCATACTGATTCAATAAATAAATGGTTTCTATATACTTTTGCCTGTAAAAAGGGAGATAATTGTCTACTTCCGGTTTAGAAAATGTCACTTTCGGTCTCATATGATAGCTTTATTTACACTGATTCCTAAAATATATGGTTTATATATACTTATGCCTGTAATAAGGGAGATAATATGCTACTTCCGGTTTATAAAATATCACTTCCAGTCTCAAATGATAGATTAATGTATGACCATTCAAAAAATATATGGTTTCTATGTACTTCTACATGAAATAAGTGCAAAAAATACTACTTCCGGTTCACTCAAGGTCACTTCCGGTTTACTTTTTTCAAGGTCATATGTCAACCAACAGTTTGCAAAAGACCCTATGGCTTTATCATGTACCAAGTTGGAGTAATAATCAATTAACCTTAAATTGAATCATTTCAGGGACAATAACTCATATAAGATATCATTGGATTATTTCAGACCAAATGTATCATATCTTAATCACAATTAAGCAAACATTTTGCACTAGTTCTTTAATTTGTAATTTTAAAAGTGACAGAGGAGATCAAATAACAAGGAAAAGTCAAAATTTAGAATATGACCTTGGCCTCAATTTCATTTAAATGAACCAAGGAACTCAAATCAATATACCTTAGGTCTCTATCACTTACAATTCATGCTATACATTTATATATTCCTTATGTCAAATACAGAAGGGGAAATAACTCTCATATGGAGTTTACGTATCGCTTCGGTCAAAATTGGACAAAACATCCTGAGGATATAATAAATTTGTCGCTTTCTTTTACGGTTACGGAGGAGATGCGTGCACAAGGGAAACAGTGTTCGGGGAGATAACTCCTACAAAGAAAAGTATTCGGTTAAGCAGGGTCAATTTCAAAGGCGCATAAACTGTTCGATATCATATACGAAACATCTAAGCGACATCTTGCGAAACAAATATTTATTGCAAGAACAAAATTAGGCAGAAGAAAAAAAAAAAAAATCAGAAGAAAACCAATAGGTCTTTCCACAGAAAAGTGGAAAGACCTAATAATCAGAACAAATACAATAGGTCTTTCCACAGAAAAGTGGAAAGACCTAATTAAAAACCAATTGTTCAGAGAACAATTGAAGGTCTTTCCACATCAATTTTCAAAGTTATTGAAAACAAGCTAGTTCCTGTTTACTTAAAGTTAAAATTTGCATCCAATCATAAGTTTCCTCATACTGATACGATAAATTAGTGGTTTTTATTTACCTTTGAGTGAAATAAGGAAGATAATTAATTACTTCCGGTGAAGTAAATGTCACTTCCGGTGTCATATGATAGCTTCTTTCCAAAAATATATAGTTTCTATATAATTTAGTCTGTAAAACAGGAGATAATTGGCCACTTCCGGTTGATCGTAAGTCACTCGTGGTCATTAGTGAGAAGTTTATGTATCTATATTATAAAAAATATGGATTCTGAGTACTTTTCCATGAAAAAAGTGCAATAATGGCTACTTCCGGTTTTCTCAAGGTCACTTCCGGTTGTCATTTTTTAAGGTCATATGTCACCTAACCTTTTGTAAAAGGTCATATTGCTTTATAATGTACCAATATGAAGTAATAATCAATTAACTTTATAATTAAACATTTCAGGGACAGTAACTCCTATAAGATGACATTGGATTGTTTCAGACCAATATAACATATCTTCATTACAATAAGGCAAACATTTTGCACTTGTTCTTTTATATATATCTTTAAAAGTGTTTGAGAAAATGCAAAAATAAGCAAAAGTCAAAATTTAGAAATTGACCTTGACCTTTGACCTTGACCTTATTTTCTAAGTTAATACCTAGGGACCTCAAATAAAAAAATTCCAGGGTTATATGGTTAAAGGTTTATAAGTTAAAAAAGCATACCGACAAATTTATTTTGTAAAGGTAGATAACTGCTATAAAATTTCATCGAGTCGCTTCGATCCAAACTAGCCAAAAATTCCTGAGGATATAATGAACAATTTAGAAAAATAATTTTGTCGATATCTCTTTTTGTTACGAAGGAGATGCACACACTTGATAAACAGTGAATAGGGAGATAACTCTTACAAAGAAAATTGTTCGTCTAAGCAGGGTGAAATTTAAAAGCGCATAAACTATACGATACAATATGAGAAATATCTAAGCGACATATTGCGAAACAAATATTTATCGCAAGAACAAAATTACGCGGAAGAAAAAAAAAAAAAAAAATTAAAAACCAATTGTTCAAAGAACAATTGAAGGTCTTTCCACATCAATTTTCAAAATAATTGATGAGAAGCTAATTCTGGTTTACTCAAAGCTATTATTGGCGTCCAATCATAGGTTTCTTCATACTGATTCAATAAACATATGGTTTCTATAGACTTTTGCCTGAAATAAGGGAGATACTTGTCAACTTCCGGTTTAGAAAATGTCACTTCTGGTCTCATATGATAGATTTATTTACACGGATTCCAAAAATATATGGTTTATATATACTTTTGCCTGTAAAAAGGGAGATAATTGACTACTTCCGGTTTAAAAAATGTCCCTTTTGGTCTCAAATGATAGATTTTTTTACTCTGATTCCAAAAATATATGGTTTATATATACTTTTGCCTGTAAAAAGGGAGATAATTGGCTACTTCCGGTTTAGAAAATGTCACTTTCGGTCTCATATGATAGCTTTATTTACACTGATTCCAAAAATATATAGTTTATTTATACTTATGCCTGCAATAAGGGAGATAATATGCTATTTCCGGTTTATAAAATATCACTTCCGGTCTCAAATGATAGATTAATGTATGACCATTCAAAAAATATATGGTTTCTATGTACTTCTACATGAAATAAGTGCAAAAATGACTACTTCTGGTTTACTCAAGGTCACTTCCGGTTGACATTTTTCAAGGTCATATGTCACCCAACATTTTGCAAAAGATCTTATGGCTTTATCATGTACCAATATGAAGTAATAATCAATTTACCTTAAAATAAAACATTTCAGGGGCAGTAACTCCAATAAGATGTCGCTGGATTGTCTCATACCAAATGTATCATATCTTCATCACAATATAACAAACATTTTGCACTTGTTCTTTAATATATAACATTAAAAATATCGGAGAAAATGCAAAAACAAGCAAAAGACAAAATTCAGAACATGACCTTGACCTTTGACCTTGACCTCATTTTCGAAGTAAGGATCCAAGGACCTCAAATAAAAAGACTATAGGTTTATACGGCTTACAGTTTATGAGTAACAAAAACATAACGATTTATTTCATAAAGGTAGATAACTCCTATTAAATTTCATCGAATCGCTTCGATCCGAATTAGCCAAAAATTCCTGAGGATGTAACGAACAATTTAGAAAAAGAATTTTGTCGATATCTTTTTTTGTTACGAAGGAGATGCACACACTTGATAAACAGTGAATAGGGAGATAACTCTTACAAAGATAATTGTCCGGCTTAGCAGGGTGAAATTTAAAAGCGCATAAACTATACGATACAATATGAGAAATATCTAAGCGACATATTGCGAAACAAATATTTATCGCAAGAACAAAATTTGGCGGAAGAAAAAAAAAAAAAACAATAATAATAATTAAAAACCAATTCTTCAAAGAACAATTGAAGGTCTTTCCACATCAATTTTCTAAATAATTGATGAGAAGCTAATTCTGGTTTACTCAAAGCTACTATTGGTGTCCAATCATAGGTTTCTTTATACTGATTCAATAAACATATGGTTTCTATAGACTTGCCTGAAATAAGGGAGATAATTGTCAACATCCAGTTTAGAAAATGTCACTTCCGGTCTCATATGATAGCTTTATTTACACTGATTCCAAAAAATATATGGTTTATATATACTTTTGCCTGAAAAAAGGGAGATAATTGGCTACTTCCGGTTAAGAAAATGTCACTTCCGGTCTCATATGATAGGTTAACCTATGATCATTCAAAAAATATATGGTTTCTAGGTACTTTTCCATGAAATAAGTGCAAAAAATACTACTTCCGGTTCACTCAAGGTCACTTCCGGTTTTATTTTTTCAAGTTCATATGTCAACCAACAGTTTGCAAAAGACCCTATGGCTTTATCATGTACCAAGTTGGAGTAATAATCAATTAACCTTAAATTTAATCATTTCAGGGACAATAACTCCTATAAGATATCATTGGATTGTTTCAGACCAAATGTATCATATCTTAATCACAATTAAGCAAACATTTTGCAGTAGTTCTTTAATTTGTAATTTTAAAAGTGACAGAGGAGATGAAATAACAAGAAAAGTCAAAATTTACAATATGACCTTGACCTTTGACCTTGGCCTCAATTTCATTTAAATGAACCAAGGAACTCAAATCAATATACCTTAGGTCTCTATCACTTACCATTCATGCTATACATTTATATATCCCTTATGTCAAATACAGAAGGGGAAATAACTCTCATATGGAGTTTACGTATCGCTTCGGTCAAAATTGGACAAAACATCCTGAGGATATAAAGAGCAATTTGGTAAAATAAATTTGTCGCTTTCTTTTACGGTTACGGAGGAGATGCTTGCAGGGTAAATTTCAAAGGTGCATAAACTGTTCGATATCATATACCAAATATCTAAGCGACATATTGCGAAACAAATATTTATCGCAAGAACAAAATTAGGCGGAAGAAAAAAAAAAAAAATAATCAGAAGAAAACCAATAGGTCTTTCCACAGAAAAGTGGAAAGACCTAATTAAAAACCAATTGTTCAAAGAACAATTGAAGGTCTTTCCACATCAATTTTCTAAATAATTGATGAGAAGCTAATTCTGGTTTACTCAAAGCTACTATTGGTGTCCAATCATAGGTTTCTTTATACTGATTCAATAAACATATGGTTTCTATAGACTTTTGCCTGAAATAAGGGAACAAATTGGCTACTTCCGGTTTAGAAAATGTCACTTTCGGTCTCATATGATAGATTTATTTACACTGATTCCAAAAATATATGGTTTATATATACTTTTGCCTGTAAAAAGGGAGATAATAGGCTACTTCCGGTTAAGAAAATGTCACTTTCGGTCTCATATGATAGCTTTATTTACACTGATTCCAAAAATATATGGTTTATTTATACTTTTGCCTGTAAAAAGGGAGATAATTGGCTACTTCCGGTTTAGAAAATGTCACTTCCGGTCTCATATGATAGATTTATTTACACTGATTCCAAAAATATATGGTTTATATATACTTTTGCCTGTAATAAGGGAGATAATATGCTACTTCCGGTTTATAAAATATCACTTCCGGTCTCAAATGATAGATTAATGTATGACTATTCAAAAAATATATGGTTTCTATGTACTTCTACATGAAATAAGTGCAAAAATGACCACTTCCGGTTCACTCAATGTCACTTCCGGTTGACATTTTTCAAGGTCATATGTCACCCAACATTTTGCAAAAGATCTTATGGCTTTATCATGTACCAATATGAAGTAATAATCAATTTACCTTAAAATAAAACATTTCAGGGGCAATAACTCCAATAAGATGTCGCTGGATTGTCTCAGACCAATGTATCATATCTTCATTACAATAAAGCAAACATTTTGCACTTGTTCTTTTATATATATCTTTAAAAGTGTTTGAGAAAATGCAAAAACAAGGAAAAGTCAAAATTTAGAACTTGACCTTGACCTTTGACCTTGACTTCATTTTCTAAGTTGGGACCTAGGGGCCTCATATAAAAACATTCCAGGGTTATACGGTTAAAGGTTTGTGAGATAAAAAAACATACCGACAAATTTTTTTGGTAAAGGTAGATAACTCCTATAAAATTTCATCGAATCGCTTCGATCCAAATTAGCCAAAAATTCCTGAGGATGTAACGAACAATTTAGAAAAAGAATTTTGTCGATATCTTTTTTTGTTACGAAGGAGATGCACACACTTGATAAACAGTGAATAGGGAGATAACTCTTACAAAGAAAATTGTTCGTCTAAGCAGGATGAAATTTAAAAGCGCATAAACTATACGATACAATATGAGAAATATCTAAGCGACATATTGCGAAACAAATATTTATCGCAAGAACAAAATTAGGGGGAAGAAAAAAAAAAAATAATAATAATAATAATCAGAACAAATACAATAGGTCTTTCCACAGAAAAGTGGAAAGACCTAATAATAATCAGAACAAATACAATAGGTCTTTCCACAGAAAAGTGGAAAGACCTAATAATAATAATAATCAGAACAAATACAATAGGTCTTTCCACAGAAAAGTGGAAAGACCTAATAATCAGAAGAAAACCAATAGGTCTTTCCACAAAAAAGTGGAAAGACCTAATAATCAGAAGAAAACCACAGAAAAGTGGAAAGACCTTATTAAATATAGTTTCGGCAACTTCTATTTAAATATTCATGAGGAAAAATAATATCGGGTCAGTGACTGTATATGACATAGAAATATACAGTCAACGCATTTTGACTGCTCAAATAGAACGAGTGCAGTATAAAGAAAATTTGTTGTTCGACCTGTTAGTCAAATGCGTTTTGTTAAGACATACTTTTTCACTTTTTTGGTCTTTTGGAAAATGTTGTTTGTGCTGTATTTAGACCCCTCTAACAAGAAATTTGTTTTGCACGCACACGTATAAAAATTGCGGTTTTTATCCACCGCAATCATAGGTTTCAACGTTGTTTTCAATTTAGACTTGTTTATATATATATAGGTAATATACGAAGATGATGTAAAATCGTGTTGATAAATATTTCGGATTAACAAATATCCTTCGTCAGTGTCAATAATTTTAACAATACTAATGGTTTGTGTAAAATAGCTCAATAATAGAGGTCGGTCAATTTAAATCCTATCCAATCGTATCAGGTGCGTTGACGTATACGTATCTGGGGACATACTAATATAACATGTCGTACTATCCTTGAGTGAAATATCGTTGAATATGTGAAGAAACCGTGCTTACGAGGTACTTGGCACTATGTGTGTAACTAATATAATTGTCAAAGTTTAATTATCTCGCGTCTGGAACATAACCGAATCGAGTGCACATTATTTTGAGCATATGATGTCTTTTTTCCAGTGTTGCATTTGGTAATTTGTACTGTCTTCGTGTAATTGCCCTATATCTGGGTTTTTCACACAAGCCTACGTGAGCTAATGATAAACCCCCTTTTCGCAAAACACCATATATATAATGGATAATTGTTTTCGCTATTGGTTTCCATGAAATGAAGAGAATAAGGAGTTTTGATACTCAGCATAGACTTAAACTCGGGATCAAATATTTTGTTTTCTTATGCCTCCAGATACGTTAACGTCAACGTGTCTGATATGAAGTGATACGTTTTAGATTGACCGACCTCTATTACAGGTAAGTTTTAGTCTATTGATTTAATCCCAAATCGTGAACCTCATCAAATAAAACAATACTCAATAGACGTGCCTGTGTATATATACGTCTATTGAGTATTGTTTTATTTGATGAGGTTCACGATTTGGGATTAAATACTCAATAGACGTGCCTGTGTATATAAATGTCCCAAATATTTTACACAAACCATTAGTGTTGTTAAAATTATTGTCACTGACGAAGGCTATGTTTTAATCCGAAATATTTGTATATTGGTAGATTGATTATGTGTTATTCGTGTAGTTTATATTGTATGTAGAGAGCCTTATTGAAAATTGGTTTAATCCAAAAGGAGTTACTCTCTTAAAATAAAGTTTTTTTTCTTATTATTATTATTATTATTATTATTATTATTATTATTATTATTATTATTATTATTATTATTATTAAGAGATGACAGAACTGGGAAGTTCGTTGACACTTGGTTCTAGTACTGCAAAAACTGCGACCAAAACCGAGTTAAATATTAGAACAATGAGTAATCTACCAGAAAAGCAGAAGTAAATCAGTAAATCGCGTTTTTTATGCAGTTGGAAGGCGTAAAGAGTAAATTTATTTGAAATTGATAAGTGAACATGATTCTCATTCAATGATATACCGAAGGAAAGTTCGGAAATTGTATTTCATAAAAATTGCAACTAATCATATACAAGTGAATATAATATTGCGGTGGTTACTAAGAGACAAAATGATTAAATAAGCAGACTGTTCAAAATACGACAGTGAAGTCACGAGTATTTTAATTCTTCTATCAATTGGAGTGCTTGTATATTTTCCAATAAAAAAAGCTATAAGCAAGACATAAAACTTATGAAAACTGAGTTAGATAAAAAGTTACTCGCCTAACAAACGCTGCAAACTATTACGGTGATTCAAACTTGCTTCATTAAATTAACTGAAACAACTTTAAAGAACAAGCATTTTACTATAGCCAGTTCTTAATGAAATTTCTTCCGGGTTTAAAACAAGATATTACGGTCAAAGCTTGCTCAAACTTATAATCCGAATCAATAAATACAACTGCCTTTTCCAAACCAACTATTGATTTAAATGATCATTTATTAAGAAACAAAAACTAATTTTTATTATCTTCTTTAATTGCAAAGTTTGTTTCATACCTACCTGAAAACATACGTCATAGCTTTACAACAAGAAAAACTACAGCGACATTTGGATGTTAATAGTGATTTTAGTGGCATCTAATCACAACGAGGTCAGGGTGAGACCAACATTATTAAGAGTGGCTATATCACACTAGGGGGTGCATATAGATAATACAACAGCATCATTCACCGATGCGATTCCATACTCTAAACCAAAATGTAGAGCAAAACCATTTCGTTGATTGGATGCTTTAGACAAGCTTCAATGGTGTTATCATGATAAGAGTAATGATGTTGACCAGATATGGGTTTTTGGAGACTTTTGTCAAGGGATATTATAGAGTTCCTAATAGAATTGCAAGCAACTAAAAAAAAACAATTTCTAGCAGGGTTTAAAAAACCCGGGTTTTATGAGTATTGCCCAGCCCAGTGGGAAATACTGAGAAAACCCGGGTTTTACTGGGCTTTACCGGGTAATACTGGGCAATACTGGGTAATATGAAATACTGGCCTGAATTTTAAAAGAGGAATCAGTGATTAATCACAAATTCAATACATTAAAGTCAAAGAATTCAATTTGTTTTTTTTTTAATAAATATAACTTATATGAAGAATTAACAGTTCTATGTAAGGAAATAACTTTTAAACATTTTTGTTCATTACTAAAAATGTTTACTAAGTTTTAGCATATGTTTATGTACATCACTAATTAATAAGTAACAATTCAGATTATAATACAGATTTGTTGATATAACAATAATCAGTCTTTTGATTTCTATAAGTGTTCATGGCCTGTCCCCTTAGGGTGTTTGTTTAGCAATATGATTGTATAACAGTTAAAATTTACAATTCATTAAAACACTGCAATAAAATGCATTTTTTCAACTTGGATTTAATATTGAAACAAAGCTTGGAAATTAACAAGGTATCCTGAAATGTCCAAAACTTGTATTCTGCCTACATAGAATCAGTGGAGAAAAGGAAGACATTGAATTTTCAATCTTCAGGAATGACTCTCAATGGTTATCCGTTTAAAATGTATATCTTTAGCTTTAATACTATTAAACTACAACAAGTCTTTACTATTTTGTGTAAATATAAGCTTGCAAAATCATATTACCCAGTATTGCCCAGTATTACCCGTTTCTAGGAGTATTGCAAAGCCCGGGAAAACCCGGGTTTTCCCACCCGGGTTTTCCCGCCCGGGTAATACTTTGCCAACCCTGTTTTCTGGACAGGTACAATTGTCTTCTGTCGAAGAAGCGCACCGATGTCACAGTTGTAGCATATCCTCCAATTATAAATGCTGAACCGAATGATATGGGCATAGGAACCTGATGTTCAGTGGTTGTCGTTTGTTGATGTGGTTCATAAGTGTTTCTCGTTTCTCGTTTTTTTTTATATAGATTAGACCGTTGGTTTTCCTGTTTGAATGGTTTTACACTAGTCATTTTTGGGGCCCTTTATAGCTTGCTGTTTGGTGTGAGCCAAGGCTCCGTGTTGAAGGCCGTACTTTGACCTATAACGGTTTACTTTTACAAATTGTGACTTGGATGGAGAGTTGTCTCATTGGCACTCATACCACATCTTCTTATATCTATATAGTGTATACTGCCATAAAGAAATGTCTTCACATGTCGAATAATTCTGGGCAGGTTCATGCTATTCAAACATTCAACCAGCAATTCTATGCAATCGCACAACAAGTTAAATCGCAATGGTCTCCACAGCTTGTAAAAAGTAAAATAACAAAAATACCGAAATACTCCAAGGACAATTCAAAACGGAAAGTCCCTTATTAAATGGCAAAATCAAAAGCTAAAACACATTAAACGATAGCAAAACAACTGTCATATTCTTGACTTAAACATTGGTAAAGGCATTTCCTTATGTAGAACATGGTGGATAAAACCTGGTTTTATAGCTAGCTAAACCTCTCACTTTTATGACATTCGCATAAAATTCCGCAAAACCACTCCTGCTTTCAAGATTGGATTACGGATGGAGATCAGTCAAAGATTCCTTGCTATTTTGAAGGAAACAATTCAGTAGATTTTCATTATCCTGTAAGGGAAAATTACAATGTAAAAAGTCCTGTGTTTGTGTCACCAAAACATTGCATGTACCGACTTATGTTCCTGCTACGGATAGAAATCCTGCAAGAACGTGCATACACATACTCTGACAGAAGAGGTTTGAGGACTAACTTCAATTATATTTGTCCGTAAAACTCTTGGTGAAATTTGTAAAGGCACATTTGTGATTATGTATAACTGAATCCTGTATCAAAATCTCAAAATTCCTAAAGGTAAAATGTGGTTCTTGTATTCGAAAATGCTTTTAATATTTGTTTGAATATTCCGTACTGACTTGTGATCCTTTTTTGCATTTTATTACATACAAAAAGTCTTTAAAACCCATAAATCAGTCTGTTTTAAGAGAGTTTGTTTGGAACTTTGGAGTACTAACCCAAACCTAGATGTACAAAATTAAAATGTTCAACAATTATTGGGCGTTAATAGATATATATTTTTAAAAATACATATTTTTGTTTTCGTTTTTTTTTCTGTTGGTTTGCTATGATTTTGAAGCCCGTAATAGTAAGGGTTATGAAAAAAGGAAATCTTTTTTGTTTAAACCACCCCTTTTTGTAAAATCGTATCACTTTTTCGGTACAATTAATTTTTTGATGATTTTTAACTTTTTAGAAAAGATAATCTATGCTGGTTTGCAAATTTTTTTGGAATGAAGGAATTGCCGTTTTTATCAATTATACAAATTTT